AGCTTGCCCTCAGGTCAGAAACATAGTACTCAGCCTAATGATCCATCTTGCTGGATCTTTTTCTGTTGCAAACTCTTACGCTGATGAAGTTGTAGGCAAACGCTCGTGACAAACCGGAATTACAGAGGACAGAAGAATGCCAATACATGAAAATCAGTACACAAACAGTTGAAATTCAAAAGTGACAAAACTTGCTCTACAATGCTATGTCATATAAAATCCTCCCTTCAATGATAGTAAAAAGCCAGGCAAGCTGAAGTCTAGTTCGGCAGATTTTGTTTACTCATCAGTTCTGCTCTACTCGTTAGCTTAAAAACAGTATAAAAATTGTAGGAGTATTGCTGCTCAATGGCAGCCACAAGGGGTAACGAAGCATCCTCCATCAGGCTTTCGAATCGAACAGGCTGAGCACGATTACTTTGGTTGTCACCCATCTGATTAGTACGAGTAACTCACTCTACTAATCTGAGACATTCATTATGCCAACCGCTCTGAGGGTGTTTAATTGCATATAGTGTATTTTGGATTTCTGGATTTGGAATCTTATCTTATAGGGAAGTGTCTTTACAAAGTGTACCTTCTAGACCAAGTTAAAATAAAGTATCTTCGGATGAGGGCCAATCCCAGGAAAGCTGTCGATGAATTTCCAGCGTCTGCGGGATGTTGTTCAAAGTTTAAATATGGTATTATTAAGGCGTGTGATAATGGGCACGCATTTTAAGTGAACCGAGCAAGTGAATTTTGCAGTTGACCAGAGTGAAAGCATTTTTTCATTTTCAGCCGATGAATGTGCCTTCTCCGCAATCTAATTATCGATTTCAACTGACTTACGCGCCACTGAGTTTTGTACTGCCTTGGATTTCGTAGTTTCGTTCATAGTATAAACAGTCATCAAACTCATTTCAGCTGTCTGCGCATCCATTCCTTGTGGACAACAATTCCATGAGCCCTATGGAGAAATTAGCTTGTACGAACAAGTGTATCAATTCACGTCTTGTACATGGACGGTCCAAATGAAGAGGCGCAGAACATACGTTTTCCTTCTACACGAATTTTCTGTGAGTCCTTCTGAAAATTATTGTCAAAATGTTTTACTGAAAGTTTTGTGAACCCATTGTTATTTTTAATGGATGATCACCTACAGCAAAGTTACTGCACACATTCACCAATACGCTTTTATGACTGTCCACAATATACTGCTGCAGAACAATGGAAACTAGCCCTACACTAATGCTTAGCTGTTTGCAACGCAGATCTGTAACCAAGCGTTGTCGCCGCGATCAAAATCCGTCCTACATATCCAGCGTTTGTTTGCGCGTTTCATTGGATCGGAAATCGAAATGATATATGGATCTCTATTGATTCTGGCGACCGGTATGGGAATCCAGCGATTAAGTTTTGATGGTGATCCGGGGGTCTGCTTGAGAAATGGGATCCAAAAGTAACCCAAAAGAGAATGACTTTCCCTTCGAGACTGACCTTACACTAATTAGTCACTCGTTCTTGAGCCCCGCAATCTGCTGCGTTTTATTTGTTTTGCTAAACACTATATGTTTGTTATTAATTACCCTTCACGACTTGAATACGGTTAGTGGATGCGGCCTTTGATCCACTCTATTTGGTTTCAACCCCTCTATTACCCATTAAAATAAGTTTTGCGTTCTAAGAGATTTTCTTCTTTGCGCGAGTTCTAGTGTCGGAGAATTACGAGATATTCTTAGGCTGATTCGAATGAGCTATTGATCACTTCATCTCCAATATAAATTTTACTGGTGAGCATAAATCACCGCTACAGCCAGAACAGGCGTGACTGATGAGCAAACCTCTCCGTTCAACAATAGTCTGTTCCCACTCGTTGGGAAATATGGGGCCCACAATATCGCCTTAGCTTGTTTTGGAAAAAAACAACGTACGATATTCGGGCACATAAGAACGATTCTCTCCATTGGTGTATATGCAAACCAGTTTAAAAGTATGATATGTTTATTGCGTCCTATATACCCTTTAAACCGATAGGTTCCAAAGGAAAACCGCATCCTATACCACATACAGACCCGTGTAATACCAAGCACCCGAATAATAAGCATGGAAGGCGTGACTGATGAGCAAACCTCTCCGTTCAACAATAGTCTGTTCCCACTCGTTGGGAAATATGGGGCCCACAATATCGCCTTAGCTTGTTTTGGAAAAAAACAACGTACGATATTCGGGCACATAAGAACGATTCTCTCCATTGGTGTATATGCAAACCAGTTTAAAAGTATGATATGTTTATTGCGTCCTATATACCCTTTAAACCGATAGGTTCCAAAGGAAAACCGCATCCTATACCACATACAGACCCGTGTAATACCAAGCACCCGAATGAATAACTAAGCATGGAAATGTTTCACTCCAAAATGGTTGAACGTTCTCAAGGGTGATACAACACAACTTCATATATGCACCGTAAAAATTACGAAACTCAAGCGCGATCCCCACTCTGTAGCCCTAGATGTACTTTTGACATCGGAAATGGCAAATCCTGGTTACTTGATCAAATGATGAAACTTGGATTTACCTTAAATTAATATTCACAAAATGAAAACAACTTATGGGGACATTTGTATCAAATCAGCATTAAAAAAATGAAACTTTCATTAGGTGGAGACACTACGTTAAATTGTCGGATAAAAGTCAATTTTGCTCAGCCTTACTGATATCCCAAAAAACACGTGCAATGGTTCAAAAGTCAACAGCATATATATATGTATATGTATATATACAATCTGTAAGTGTCTTGCCACGGGCAGACCCATTTCATCTCTGGGTATCCTAAGCCAGCGCGAGGCATATACTTGTGGAGATAACTGATGTTTTCAGCGTAGCACTGAGCACACTATATTGGTCTAGATCGCTCAACCATCTGTTTCTGTGTGCGTTGCGCAGCGCCGCCTAGTTAACTAAGTAAGGCTTTTTGTGAACGTGCATTTTTCGAATTTTGACTTGCTCCAGAACTTGTGGCCTTTGAAAAGTGCTCAAAAATAGAATCTTTTGACCAGTCCATCCTGAGAAACTGGTGTAAAAGCCCACAAAAACCACACAATATTGGGTCCACGTTGTCAGCAGCGTCTAAGAAGTTATTGAAACTGGTGAAAGGACGGAAGCCCTTTGCTGCAAACTTGTTTATTCGCAAAGACGAACCAAGCTGTTACAAGCTTTAAGACACAGAAGTGAATATCTCATACGCACAGAGTTATTGAAAAGTGAACAGGCGTCCTCGTGAAATTTCCTGGAAGCCCATCGAATGGTAAACAACCGTAAACGAACGCTGCAGAGCAGTTCTACAGTTTGCATAGTGACCTTCACCTTCCATCTAATACGGGAGTGAAGCATCGACAGCGGACTGTAGACTACTTGCATGCCTAATCAGTAATGTACACCGTGGAAAACCCTGCCCCTTCAAAGGTGACACGCGTGCCACCAATGTTTCATTCGCCTCGGTTGAGTGGGCCTAAACGGCGGGTCTATTCGGCACCTTTTCAGGTGTATCATGCCACCGTTTGCTGCTTTCGATCTTCGACCTTCTCCAATTGTCTAAACGTTTCTACGATGACAACGAAAAACAGGCCTTGCGATCGACCACCAAATCTCTACTACCTCAGTTCACAGTTTCCAGGATTTTGGTGATCATTCTATTTGACCTTCATGCCCATGTGAAATGGTCAGGCCATTGCTTTTGTGTAGTTGTTTCTTGAACGGCGGTCAAGTTTTCTAGAGCTGTGTTTCTTCCTCCCCAAGCTCTTCCGGAAACAAACGTGTTGTCGGCCACAATCCAATATCTTGATCAAATGGAAGGCGTGGACGTCGACCGTACATCATTGTAAAATGGAAACTTTCCTGTGGTTGGCTCGATCAACGCACTTTCTTTGGCTGCTAACCACTCCCTAATCATTCAGCAGTTGCTTTCTTTTAGGCCGTTTGTTTATAGGTGGTAGGGTGCCGTTCTTAGTCGACTGATTCCCAACGTCTCCAAGCAACTCCTAAACTATTCTCTCTCAAAGCAAGGCCCCTGACCCTTTAGGATCGTTTTTGGCACTTTTTGGATAAACACGGTGTTGCATTACCACTCCGCTAATCATCGTCGCCCGTTGATTTACCGCGGCTGCCACCTCACCGTGACAGGTGTTTTGTCATTAGCACGATATATTGATTGCCAATGGCTGTCACTGGAAAAGGGCTCATGAGGTCAGTGGACCGTAACTCACACATCTCTAATGCAGGAATGGGTTCATGGGATGAGCTGCCCTTGTCGTATCCTCTTTCATCAGTTGGCACTGCTTACATGACACCACATAACTCAATTCTCATCCCTGGCCAGTAGACCTACTGCTGAAGTAGGTCGTACGTCTTGGTGCACCCTGTGTGTGCTATGTCTTGGCATTTGACTGTCAGTTTCCGTTTTTAAACGCAAGGTATCAAGGTATCACCGATCTAAACTGAGAAATCCACAGTCTTAGATCTTTGCCAGTTTTTTCGGAAATAGGTTAACCTCTCCTTAACCAGTCAGAGCATTGTCACCGAACTCCATTTGAGCTTTTTCTTGGCTTAATTTATCCGCAGGCTGTCTTCCGAATACGTCTCAGTGCGGCTTTAAATAAATGGCGTGGTCTGGCTCCGAATTGCTATACACGACTAACACGGCAACATTCCGTAGTCCCTTCGTCAAACAAAGCATCAAGCTCCGGAAAGTGAATGGTTCCCTCGACAATCCAAACGGCCTCTGCCAAACTGATACTGGATGTCCCCAACTGTGAACGCCGTGTTTTATCTCGGTCCTGTGATTTAATAGCTTGATAGATGATAGTATCCGGAACGCAAGTTTACACTTAATATACACCGTCACACTAGTACTTATTTCCATGTACATAATTTGGATGTTTTAATCATGGAGATCTAGTATTCTACCGAACTGTTTCACCAATAAATAAGGCACACCAAACCACTCCATTCTATTGCAGACGGGCAACACAGGAAGTCTTACCATACAAGACGGCAGCGGACAAGTTAACAAATATGATAAGAACATCAGCTCTCCTGTAATAATCGAGCACTTGAACAGAGATGTAATTATAACGGTAAAACTGAACTCCGTTGGAGGAAGTGTACGTCTTCGGGTCGAATATTATGAAGGTAAGTTCTTCGGAGCATGTGACACATAATGCACATTCGGTTATCTTCATATGAGGTCTACCTGCATAGGAAGACAATTTAGGAATGCATTTGCTTTCTGAAATGCACTTTCTGACAGGCGTTCACAACTGTAACCACTCTAATAATGTTGACTGGATTCAAAAGTGAAGTCAGTCATAATGAACGGATGACATAATGTGGCGCATAAACTTCTATTAGAAATCCCGAGCTTATTCAGGACGTGCGGAGGAAAACCTACTGATGTCAAACCGTTTACGGTAGTCCAGAACCATATTTGAAGCCTAGATTTGAAACCAAATTTGCGGAAAATTTTCCTCATCTTTCTGGTTATTCTAGAGAAACTACCGATAAAAATCTGTGTAAACAAATCTGCTTTTTACAGACGAATGTTTTTTATACAGAATTGTTGCAATTTCCTTGGTTTCAGATATAGAGCACGGGTTTCTAAAGCACAATACAAGTGAACTCATTAACTTGATCACAAAGCAGATGGCGTTCATTCGTGGATAAGTCACTATCGGTTGAACTCATGTTTTACAACTGCTCTAGGGATAAGGGAAAATCTTGCTCACATTTTCAGAATATAATCAAGGTGGACGTTGAAAACGGTTTTATAAAAAATACACTTCTACACGCATGTTTGTTGGAAGAAAGACCAATCTGACTACATAAATAAAGGAAACACGAACTGTACTTAAGAGTAGAGCTGGTTATTGCGACTCATTCACCTAAATGAAATTATTACGAACATATTTTAAATTAGAAACTCTCGTTTGAAGTGGATTCAGGGACATAAAATCGTTATTTGCAGAATTTTTGTTTCCGAGTTTTTTCTGGTTGTCCGCTGTGTCAAGCCCGGTTACTACTTCGTTGCCTGACGTGAGGCGGATTCAAACCGAGTTTCAACCCGACCTCTGCCTCTCGACTCCCCCTCCTAGGCTTGGACAGCCTGGCAGTATCCCAACCCTCGTGCTTCCTTTGGGTAACACCCGAAAGGTTCTTACAGCTGGACGACGGTTTTTGTCCCCGTTTGGGTCGTGCATACCAGAACCACTGATTGAATATCTACCATAAAAGCTGTTCTGAGAGAACCGCGCATATTCCGATCTATGTTTGTGCCACCACAGTGCCAAATGACATAGCAGCTTGGGTTTTACCCAAGCCGTTGTGGTTCCAACAAATGGAAAAGATTGCAAACAGTTAGTCACTAATCGGAAGAGGTCTAAGTGATTGTCTCTTTATGTTCTAAAACCTGGCGAAAAGGTTGTCCGGCCATAAAATTACCGATTGTTTACCAAGTCCTTCTGAAACGAGCGCTTTTTCAATCGAATCCAAATTTTTGCTAGTTATTTCACTCACTTCATTTTCAGCTTATTTGCTGGGCTCAGAAAGATATAGCACTGGTATTTGTATCATGGGATTTCCCACATTCACTGAGGCGATCTTCCTCCAACTGTCTGAAATTGACCCAATAACTTGTCGAATTTCGGTTGAAAAATTCAGATGTCGGCTATTTTCAACCAAGAGTCCCGTTAGTCTTCAGATTTAGCCAAACCAGGATTGTATTTAAACGTAGGGGTGGTGACATTTGAAATTCTATTCCAAAAGTGTGTGGTTTTAAGTGATGTTTTCAAGCTAGCTTTTGGGGTGTTGCGATCAAAACTGACACCGGCCAGTCGCAATGGCGCTATTTTTTGCGGCGCGTTATCGGAGTGATGCATCTGTAGACGAAACACATGCAAAACGTCAAAGTTAAAAGTCTCAAAGTCATTCGGGAACACAGTTCAACTGACACACATCTGTTCTGGTGTAAATAAGAAGAATGAAAAAACCAAGCAGTTGGTTTTCCATAATACGTTACCGATTTCAATAGTTAATTAGGTGACTACAAGACTATCGGGCGTCACATTAGGGCTAATCTGTCCATTTGACCAGAAAAAAGCATGATTATGACCAAGGTTACTGTGGGGTGCTGGGGGGGGGGGGATGGCGAAGAAATTTCTGATATGAAACAATGAGAGTGAATTTTGTAACTGGTGGAAGGTTTCCGTGTGCAGCCTCAGTGCGACACCAATAGATCCACTATATATACACATTTATATACATAAACACGCATATATATATATATATGTTTATCGAAATCAAGAGACATACTTAAATGATTCTGGCGGTTTATGCACAATTCGCTAGTCGCGTTTACTCTACAAATGTCGTGCTGTGGATGGTTTTGCAACGAAATAACCATGAAATGAGCTGATCCGGTAAACAGTTACCTATGGGAATTCAGACTGCCCTAGATGGAAGAGATGAGGAGTAGTGGTCCCTTTTTAGGAGGAACTATATGCACGAGATTAAGCCTGAATGGAATTTAGCTTACACAACTCTTGCATGCTATGGATTTCGGTTAGTCAAGTTATCCAGGCATATCCGAAGAACAACAGTGACTGTCTAGGGCAGCTGAATCGGAAGAGGTCTAAGTGATTGTCTCTTTATGTTCTAAAACCTGGCGAAAAGGTTGTCCGGCCATAAAATTACCGATTGTTTACCAAGTCCTTCTGAAACGAGCGCTTTTTCAATCGAATCCAAATTTTTGCTAGTTATTTCACTCACTTCATTTTCAGCTTATTTGCTGGGCTCAGAAAGATATAGCACTGGTATTTGTATCATGGGATTTCCCACATTCACTGAGGCGATCTTCCTCCAACTGTCTGAAATTGACCCAATAACTTGTCGAATTTCGGTTGAAAAATTCAGATGTCGGCTATTTTCAACCAAGAGTCCCGTTAGTCTTCAGATTTAGCCAAACCAGGATTGTATTTAAACGTAGGGGTGGTGACATTTGAAATTCTATTCCAAAAGTGTGTGGTTTTAAGTGATGTTTTCAAGCTAGCTTTTGGGGTGTTGCGATCAAAACTGACACCGGCCAGTCGCAATGGCGCTATTTTTTGCGGCGCGTTATCGGAGTGATGCATCTGTAGACGAAACACATGCAAAACGTCAAAGTTAAAAGTCTCAAAGTCATTCGGGAACACAGTTCAACTGACACACATCTGTTCTGGTGTAAATAAGAAGAATGAAAAAACCAAGCAGTTGGTTTTCCATAATACGTTACCGATTTCAATAGTTAATTAGGTGACTACAAGACTATCGGGCGTCACATTAGGGCTAATCTGTCCATTTGACCAGAAAAAAGCATGATTATGACCAAGGTTACTGTGGGGGGGGGATGGCGAAGAAATTTCTGATATGAAACAATGAGAGTGAATTTTGTAACTGGTGGAAGGTTTCCGTGTGCAGCCTCAGTGCGACACCAATAGATCCACTATATATACACATTTATATACATAAACACGCATATATATATATATATGTTTATCGAAATCAAGAGACATACTTAAATGATTCTGGCGGTTTATGCACAATTCGCTAGTCGCGTTTACTCTACAAATGTCGTGCTGTGGATGGTTTTGCAACGAAATAACCATGAAATGAGCTGATCCGGTAAACAGTTACCTATGGGAATTCAGACTGCCCTAGATGGAAGAGATGAGGAGTAGTGGTCCCTTTTTAGGAGGAACTATATGCACGAGATTAAGCCTGAATGGAATTTAGCTTACACAACTCTTGCATGCTATGGATTTCGGTTAGTCAAGTTATCCAGGCATATCCGAAGAACAACAGTGACTGTCTAGGGCAGCTGAATGGATGGATACCCACAAATTTGGTGCTTTTGTTTACTGCGAGTCAGTCCGTTTCACGACAGATTATCCCGGTGTTCTATCCACAAATCAGAGATGTCACGTATAATAGTATCCCACCGTTTCCAGAAAAACCTTGGAAGTTGGAAACAGACTCTTGTTCCGTGCTATTTTGTTATCAGTACCGACTGAATACTCGAGGCCCAAAACACGTTAGGTCTTGATTAGTTGTGTCGAACCACACAGGCTACAAATACCTAGCACTACACAGTGGACAAGAAGTGGAATATCGGAGACCACATCACCTCACAGAGGATCCCGTACATGACAGAATGATTTCGGTCAGTCTAGTGGGTGTTCGCTGTAAAGCAAAGCCACGCAATAGCTTTGTAGCTCACTGTGTAGTGTAGTGTGCCACAGTATAGTATAACATGATATGATATAATGTGGTGTGGTGTCATACGGTACAGAACAGTGGAGCATAATACGAAACCATACGCTCATTACAGGTAGGTTGGCAGGTTTAAGTTTGCATACCACCTATCACTTTCCGATTTCTGATTTTCCGATTAATATCTCTTTTCAACCTTGGTTCAGACAGCTGAATTGCCCGTAAACACATTGTTGCATCAACAAAACCACGAAACACACTACACATATGCCTGCTTAAAACTCGAACATCTCATGTTCGGTTTCATCTATCTTATGATTAATCAAATAGTCATAGTCTCCGGGTTTCTGTCGACCTCATGTTCTGTACACAAGTGGTGTAATATGCTCATCTGTATACAGTTTTGGGTTCAATAGCAGACTTCACTGAATCTCTTGTTTATGATATTCTTCAGTTGAATGTGCTCCACAAAGACCGTTCCACGTTTCAGCTGGCGCGATATTCGAGATGACATACTTTAAGTCCTTAGTGGCTCACATTAAACATAAGATTACACATAATTCTACAGAACCCCACGACCGGTTTCGCCCTTCTTAGGACTCATCAGCAATTACGTTGGTTTTGCAGAGGTATCTCTACATGTTCTACTGTACACTTTAGTAGATCTGGTCATCGACCATTCATAAATTTCACCGAGTCCACCAGTAGACTCTAATTAGGTGACTCGATAAACTGAAGGCTTAACAGGCATTATTACGCACTATTACGCATCAAATTGAAATGGCCGTTGCTTCTCGAACAAACGGCGAAATGGACTGCTTCAGTGGTGTGCAGTGTATATGAACAAATTAAAGTTCTAGTTATGCACCCTGCTTCGCTAGTTCTTTGTCGTCGTGGATGAAACGTGGTAAAGATCTAGTTGAAGGAGACCTTGGATGACCATAAAAGTTCACACCAGGTATCGGTGCTCCATTGAGGCATTGTTTTTTCATATGAACCATTAAGGTTACCTAGAACTTATTGAGTTTGCTAAAAGCAGTTTCCTTATTGGGTTATTTTGTATACGGTCACAGAGAAATGAAATAGAAATTCATGCTAGACTTCGTGATCAAGTGTGTTTAAGCTAGGACTACAAAGAACGTGTACAAAGCGTCCGATCCGTTGACTGCTAATGGGGTTTTCCGGTTTCTAGGCTTTGGATGCTACTGGCATGGAAATGGCACACCTTGTAACCCAAAGCTCACCATGTTAAGTGTGATATCCCAATGTGCTGGATCTTCGGTGTTCAGTTTTTTCACTTGGTACTTAATTTGGAAAATTGAAAATACGTAGGTCTGTTCATCATAAGAATGGTGTCTAGGTAAAAGCTTATCGTCCTTCTAAAGGTTACCTCAGCCTGACGGTGGATGTCTCGCGAGTAGTTGCGAAAAGTATTACTGTGATCAGGTACGTCCTTACCCATTTGGCTTAAATCATACTTCCTTTAATACTTCCTCAAAAATCTCTGTCGGACTCTGCGATTACGAATGATTAAGAGGTTTCAAACAGACGTTATGCAGATGTCAACTGCGTTCTGTTATTGGTGGCCAACGGTTCTTTCTGGGTAAATTGATTAAACAGACATCGGAAGGCAGACAGAAACTTGATGAGCACTGGAGCGAATCTTTAAGGAACGCACCAACATCCAAGCGAAAGATACAATCAACTGGGCGAGAGATCTGCAGCAGGACAAGCCGCAACAAGCATATTAAATGTTTACTAAACCTCGAAGGCCAGTCACTTATTAACCTTTCCAACGCTCAGTAGCTGCGCACGTTCTATCACTCAGATGTAAAAGGCACAAATGAATACAAATATGATATGCAAGCAAATTTTTCCTCACATATGCGGTGTGATTCTCACATACAACAGTTATACTCTAACCGTGGACTCAACTTCCAGCATGAAGGATGAAAAGTTCAGAATTCCTGCGCGAGGCATTCCAACAACAGCTCTATCAATAACCCGGGAGCTATCGTAGAATATAAACTGAACAAGGAGTGCTTGAGCACAATCCATTGGAGATTATGTCTCACTTGAAAAATTTTGGAAGTGCAGGAAATCGATATGCAAAATACAATAGCTCATTTCCTCACTGTTAGTAGATGGCTCGTATGTCTATGCCAGATAACTTATGAGTAAAAACCGTGCGACCGGCTTGAAGTGAACAGATGAATAGCTGCTTAAAAATCGATTTTCATGATAAACATCAGTACGGAACATAACAGTACAATTTTGTGCAATATTCTAAATAAATTTCTCAGCTTCTCCACACATGTATACTACAAATCTCAGTAGATAATACTTGGTTAAAGTATCTTGCTTCAAAAGGTTTCCTTAACAGGCTAGCATCCTGAGCACCAACAAAACTAAAGACGATTTCTGTCTACCGAGGTCTGGCTTCCAGTTACAAATTGTAATTGATTTAACACAATCAAACAGTCCGCTGTTTGTTGTACCGCACACGATACAAGAACCGGAGGTTTGGTGTAAAGGAGAAAAGGTAGACAAAAACAATGGGGATGACTATCTAGTGAAACACTGAGCAGATGGATGAAATCAGCTGCAGCTATTGTAGCAAACAGTGGGTGTTTCCCGTCTGAACCTTTGAAATGCCACCTAAGGGGGTCGCTCCTCTTGATTGAGAATTACTGATCTGGCCCATCTGCATAAACCGTGTGCACTGATACATGACCATAGATCAAGCTACTTTTCATGATGAACCAAAAGTCACCGTGAAACGGACAAATCTAAATAGGTCGCCCAGTCATAAAAGAATCGGCCTGTTCCAGTGCAGTAAGGAACAGACCGCATCTTCTTTGGACATACACAACTATTTCTGTTTTAATACCAATGTAAAACGACTTTAATTATTGAGCTATTATTAGTACCAAGCTCTAGTACTATCCACAAACATCAGATTGTTACACTGAAATACCACCCTAACCGTCTCCAGCATGCATTATCATATTGGTTGAGGGTAAACAACAAGCCCTAATCAGACAGGACTCATCACGTAGGTTGGACTAGGCCAGTTAATCTGTAGGTGATAGGGTTCCTGACTTACACTAAGTAGTACAAACAAATGCAATGGAGTTAACACTGGTAGTTTTGTTGAACTGACGTGGTCATTGGCTGTATGCAAACTTCCAAAAACCGGCAAACAACAGGTGCATCTTCGTAAACAAAGGCACATGCAAAATTACGAAATCACAAAATATACCGGCAGTTTTGAAAACGACAACTATTCAGCTTTTCTCTTTCATAGTCTGGAGAAACAACAGAGAGGTACAAGAAAACATAAAGCTTTCAGCACCCACATTTGTGTAGCTTTATAACCAGGGGGCAAAAACCACACTCGTGGGTGCATTTGTCGAGATTAAGTCGAGCCTAATCTTGACGGCACCCGTACTAACCAGCAATACTCCTTAAAATGTACTCAAAACCGATCTAGCGTGCCAGTCAAAATAGACCATGCTGATTAATTTTGTGCCTGTCTTAGAACTCGGTCAACCTGGTAGCCCACCAACGTGGCCCCAGGAAGCTTTCGAGTTAGAAGCGTCGCCCGGAAATAAATTCATTTGTTGTTTTCTACATCTTTCTGGAACGTTGACATCTAAATCGGTTCTGAAATTCTTTCCCACTGCCCGAAAAGAAAATTTCCCTTGCTTTTGCAAATTTTTGTGACAGAAATCTTTTCTTTTTGCAAAGAAGAGGCGTATTACAACATCATGAGTAACAAACTACACTGGCAGTAAACGAAGTGGTTACTGAAATGTGCTTAAAATTGCAAGTTTCTAGGCAATCGTGTATCCTCCGGTCGTAGTTAACACCATTCTGACCATAGCACTTGAAAGGGACAACTATGAATAAATTAGCCAAGTAAGTTTGCTTGAAAATCCACCTAGATTGTTTTATTTAACCTTGGTTTATCGTGCGAATTTTAGCGTCAAACACCATCACAGGTTGTGGTGGCATCATCCGATCGGCGGTTACTCTGCAGCTCCATTTTTCAACCCCAAAGCAACACATCTGTGAATGGCGGATCAATGACATCAGGGGACTTCCAGCTATCTTGGAACCGAAAACCTTTTTTGTAAGTACATTTCTGAGGATTACAGAGTACTGACAACCACAATATTTCCATCGATCCGACTTTTACGGATGGCCCGTCATGCCTTTTACCTTGGTATTCTTGTGTTAGGCTGAACATTGTTAGTTCGATTCTAGCCTGTTAATGGTGAGCGCCTCTGAAGGAATGGACCAACCTTTGTTTTTCTGATATATTTCAGGTTAAGTGTGTTACGTTTTGTCCTCCCCCTTCCGATAAGAACGAAAAACATCGAAAATCACCATACACAAACATCATTCTTCCAAGATCATATCCATCAGGTTTACCTCACAGCTAACTAAGGTGATAACTTTTGTGAGGGCATAATAATCGTTTTTGGTCGCAACACCCATGTGTCCCACCAGCTAACGTAGAGTGCATCCAACCGTCCCTTCGGTCTTACTGAACGTTGGCAATCTCAAACCGTTCTACAAACAATCTGGCCTGGACTGTCTTCAAGAACTTTGATCAATGTATGTACTTACTTCACTGAAAACTCTTTAGGTATGAACAGTTTTTTTAATGAACGCCACCTTGTTTAAAGATAACCTACTGTAATTCTTTCGGGCTCTAATAAGTCAGTTTTTATCCTCTCAACCTATGGGCGCTACCATATATTTATTTAGGCGTTCCTTGTAAAAGGGAAAATAATGTACGTAGACATTAGAAGTCTGCAGTGTTATCAGCCCCTTCTGCGATTACAAGTCCGTGACAAAGCTATTTAAGAGGCAAAAAATAGATTTGTTGTCCACTACATTTGAAAAACAATGGATGAAAAAATGGTGCTCGGGTAAGAAATATCGCTAGTAAACAAGTGAGGCCGTCGCCACCAGTCGAGCTTACCTATCTGTTTTGCCAGCGAAGAGCGAATTCTGTCAACGGGATAAGCAACTTCCGACTCCCAGGGAACGAAGCCCTCAAATATGAAGAGGAGAAATTTTCCGTTTCCTCGAGTGATCGAGTTACTCCAAATAGGTTACCTTACAATTGAAGCGCACAAGGTTGATGGTCTGTCGGTACTGGTTGATTGTTATTAGAAGTGCTTGAGATCAAAGACAACGCTCTCACCAAATTGTGCTCACACACTTACTTCCAGTCAATTGGAAGACCTCCAATACTTAATACTGATTGAACTACCACAGCTGAAGCTGAAATAGGAAACAACATACAACATAACAGCTGCTTTTTCGTCAGAAAACATCGTGACGCACTACTTTCTATATCAAGCTTTTCAGAGTTTGGCTAGACATTTGATTTCCGGGCATGAAAAACAATGAACATCTAAAGATACGCCCATAAATGAAGAAATTAGGCATTTTCAGCATTCGCTCTATTGCGGTCTGCGTTCGGTGGATAGACTTATCAAGGTAACTGTCTTCAAGTTCCGTCAGCTAGATTTTACTTAAATGTCCCCTCGTAATGATATTTTTGTTAGTATCGGATATAGTAGACGTTTCTGAAGAGCTCCTGGTAGCGCTTGGTCCAAGTTCCTGAGTAGAATATGCAGGTAATGTGCTATAGCCATCTGCCCATTGAAACGTTTGTTGAATGAGTTAGGAGTAAAGGAGGTTTCTTCACTAAAACTATCGTAGGGGGCTATAAAATGTCATTTTCTAGTGCGGTATACATTCCACTAAACGCTGCCGGTTTGTTTGTTCATAGTTTAGTGGGAATGGCAGCGCGTCACTGCGAATTTTCGACTATCATGGAGGCATAGAACGAAGTTTACTGGAACGCGAAGCGTCGGAGGAACTCCCACGTTATTTCCAAACACAAAAATCCAGAGTGTTGATCAGGCTTTCAGCTAACATCCAAAATGGGTTTCTGTTTTTCCGAATAAACAGATATGCAGGTAGGTATCTTGCATACGGTGCCAGAATTGAGGTAGCAAATTTTCCCCTCTCTCCATAAATATAAATATAAATATATAAATATATATATATATATATATCGTTTCCATAGATGTCGAAATGTGGAAGTAAATTTACCACTCTTTCAGTTTTTAATTGTCTGACCGCTATTTGGTGCAATGTTGTTATTATCTTATGCTGATGCTATGAATGAGTTTTTATTGATCATGTCCACTCAAACCTACCTTGACTACTTTGATAACAAATCGATAGGTCTTGATAGACGCTAAGGCTATCACCTAAAGGGTATATTCATATCGAAACCCGTAAACAGAACTTTCATGCAGTTTTCTGGTAAACAAAAACGTTAAATTCTTATCTAACAGCGAGTGACTGACGTTCAACGTTTATGCTGATTGGCCAAGATTTTCACCTTTGCAAGACAAGCCCTCACGCATTTTATGCAGTCCGGTCTGATGTTCGAAACCTCCACTCCCAAATAAACTACATGAGATCCCGATGATTTCAAGATAAGTGAATAGCCCATCTACACTCATACTTCTATATCTTCTATAGAACGAAGGATCTCGAGTCAAGCCTAAGTGAGTAGATTGACTATTTTAATCTTGGCATAGAACTTAGTGCTGGTGGACTGAAGTCAGAGCCAAATCCAGATCGGCCACGTATACGAGACTTAGGTGTCAGCCTTCTTGATTTAAAGGGATATATGTTGGTGTCGTTTGAACCAGTGAGCATACATCGGCAAAACGCAACCCCGTTTGACAGTGCATCCTACATTCTTCTTCCGGTCATTAAAAAACGGTGCATCATTGTTCACTAAGCGTATCACCGTTGAACAAGCCGGACGGTAAGGCATAGTCTTTGTGCTGTTGGCGGGAAAAAGCAAATAGCGATTGGTGTCGTTGAAATCGGACAATCGTCATCCCCATCTAGGTGGACGTGGTTATTTTCACTTGCTTGTCACGTCTTCATGGTGAACAAGCCATATACCTCCGGGATGGAATCAAAGTTCTAATACCGTCGACAGTCTACGCAGCCTGTATCCGGTGGAAGCCATCAGTTCTTGTTCAGACGCAAATACTACGCCAATACACGATGTAGCCTAACCCAAGTGCTCTATGACCCTGTTATCCACGCACGATGAACAAGGAAACAGTTCACAAAGTGTTTCACCATTTGAACAAGAAAGTGGTTTGTTTGGGAATCAAGCCAATATGTTTGCCTTCGGCTGTCAGTCACATTCGAGATAATATATCTTTGTTGAATTCTGTGGTTGCACAAACTGTTAGTGAAAGTTTGAGAGAACCTGGGGATATGTTGAATTGGAAAGACTTTTAACAGTCAGTATCAACGTTACTTTCCTGTGTTTGTTCCCTTCAATTAAAAAGTAGCTGTGTGAAAATCTCAACATCTTTCTGGGTAGCACCCAGTTTCACATCCGATTAATACGTAACCCGAATGTGCTTTGACATTGTAATATTGTACATCTACCTTAGTGGCTCTTCCGGCTACATTGACGGATGCATGGAGCAAAATAAACAACTCCTGTCTATAAAAGAGTACCTACAACTAATCCACAATACGCCTACCACTCACTGCTGAATCTGATAAATACATGCTTTTGTCAGCATTTGTCAGTTATCTGGACGGGTATTCGCTCACACGGAGGAAATGGCATCCTGCATGTGAGGCGATAAACTCGTTGCGTAGTGAGCAACTGTGAGAATGTGGTCATATGTTCACATATGTGTTCATATCATATGGTTGCTGAAAATTCTTCGACAGGCCACAAAGGGTTTCGTCCTTCTTGGTAGGCACAGTCTCAAAGTTCCCGTCAACCTTATGTTTTACTTGAACCGAAATTGCAGGGAATTAGCGAAATAAACTAATTTGCAAACCAATCTGCTTTTAGGGGGGGGGACTCACCTGAAGCCCGGCTAAAACTCTCGTTTATGATGTTTTTAGACATGTTATGTCCATTATTCACTTCATACAGCCTGCTGCTTACTTGCGAGTAACAGTTCACTAGTTCATTAGGTTCCAGTGATTAGTCGGCGATAGTCAAGCCTGTTGATTGTGTCTCGAATAGTATGTTTTCTATGCTTTTTTGTTTAGGAACAGTTATCTTGTTTAGTACTCATTCTCATCTGCAGTTTGTGTGCCTCCCTCTGGATGACAGGACGAAACGATACTCTGCAAAACAAAACTGACATCGACTTTGATAAATTTATACTCAGTTTGATGCCTGCGGCCTGAAATTTAGGGGTATCCTCTACAAAAGATTTGTGTGCTAAGACACTTGTATTCTTGACGGCCAGTGGAAACGATCCGATATTGACGCTATTCGTTAAAACTGGCTGAGACAACTTGCCATTGGACTGACTTGAGTTCGGTTTTAACGTCGTGTTCCCACCAATTTAATTCTTTGTATTTCTAGAGGCACTTCTGTGAAATGTGCATTTGCATTTTCTGAAGCCACGACAGGTGTTGGTTGCTGCTACCAGGCGTTGCGACAGCCCGTGTTAAATCATCCCCTTTCCCCAATCTGATGCACATTAGCGAAGAGCTGCTGGCAGGAAACATAAATAATTCCTATTGTGGTCGTTGGCTTTTTCGCTGAGCTCAGCTCAGCGAACAAGCCAACGACCACCATCTACGATACCTGAGCTACCAACACTTTCCTCTATAGAATTCCTATTGTTTTTGTACTATTTCCACGTATAAAAGGAGTCTGTTTTCTAGTGACACTCACTGTGAAGCTCATCTTTTTAGTACCAACCATCAGTTCCCTTTGTGGAGGCAGTCCAAATAATGGCATTCTCAGCGCGATTGTAAGTAACCGGAACCGGGCCTACAGCTGTTTCTGGCAAATGCAACGTCTGAAGGAGGGTCCTATGTGGTTTGAGTCCAAACTATTTCAAGTGAGTCACAACTTCGATCATGAATAATCGTGGTACATTATTCCCTCCTCATTATCTTCCTCTGCTTGGTAGCAAAAAATGTATCGCCATTAAAGATATTTTTTGTGGATACTGCTGCTTATAAAAAGCCTATTGCATGCTTTGTACACCGGATCAATAATGGTTTAGCGCTATACGGGTCGTATATATTTGAAATGGAATCCCAACCTTGTCTGGAACGACTGCTCTCTTATTTGTGACCTGGGCGCACTAGACTGACGTGGGAAGTCGTTAAAGTTGTCACAAACTAGTTCCGCCCGTGTCACAAAGAAGAATTTCAGCATCAGCTACCCATAGTCATCAAGCTATCCTCCATCCTCACTACAGTGTAACTCGAAAAGAACTGAATCACCTATGTCGCATCATCTTATGCCGCAAACACTAGTGAGTGGTGTTGTACGCACATCCTGAGTTGTGTTATTGGACAGAAGAAGCCTGTCCCATTCGAAGAGCTCCTGAAGAGGTGGTGAGAAGCTGCATGAGCAAATAAAATTTAGATGCACAGAGCCAATGATTCCCAACAATAATGAAACAGCAGTATAGAGTTCCTTGGCTTTCCCGCATAGACTGGCTTCCCTGACAGGATGGGCTCTCTATTGAAATACTAAGTCATTTCAAGGCATCACGAATCACTTTGAGAGAAGAATTCTTGCTTCTAACGCTGCTTTGTTAATTAGGGTGCCTCTTCTTGGGCGACTGCTGTAATGTGTTAGGAGCTAGTATGAATGAGAAATGCCTCAAATCCTCTCATATTTTGACTACTACTTGACCGCTTAACCTTACGACATTAAATATGATTCAGTACATATTGGGAAGGGTGTGAATCCAAGAATTCAGGGTTGAACTTTATTGGGATCCTGAGAAAATAAGGAGACAAGAATATTTGGAAAGTTACAGTGAAACCACTGGTGGCACCAAGTAATACGTTGGCATAATTATTTCACGTATGCGCATGAATTTTCGGTTATGCCTGTTGGAGGGGCGTCATAGTAAATCGTGAAATCAAATAACTTTAGACAATTCCGAAAGCGTCTCTACTAATCATCTTGTTACTTTCTTAGGTACGGTACCCGGAGGCATAAAATCATTACCAAGGCTTGTATCACCGGAACATTTCGGACAATACATAATACAAGGTTCAAGTACAACATAGGTTTGACAAGAATCGTTGACCGCGCCTAGCAGATGATTCTCAAGATGAGCGAAATCGGTCGTCGGTTGTCGAAGAGTTTCAGCAGCCTAATCAATATATGTTGCTTCTAGCAGATGATTCTCAAGATGAGCGAAATCGGTCGTCGGTTGTCGAAGAGTTTCAGCAGCCTAATCAATAGTATGTTGCTTCTCCACAATATATTAGGTCTGTACTAAGGTAAAACGCTTCAGTATAGCAAACCTCCACGAAAAGTAATAATATTCTATTTTATCTGGAAGTAGAGCCAGAAGGAGTTCTCGCTTTCACAAACAAAACATTCCGGATAGAGAGCTCACTTGCATTGTGGACTGTTTACATTTCGGAACAGATCACGCTAAAATCGAGACTGAACGGAATGCTTGATAATTCGCCGGTTGTAATTAGCAGTCGAATCCAGTTGACGGAAATGATACCAAAATAATGGACGTATATGGACTTTTCCGTATGATGTTGTCAACTCTACCTCCTAAAGCCATTTTACAATTAAAAAAAAAACAGAGCATTACTTTGGTTATGTTTTATGGATTGAGTATGTGATGTTGACAGTCAGGTAGTGTGCAATGCCTGTCAAACATTATAAATATGATCGCTACCTGGTGTTAACTTTTCCAAAGCATTTCGTCTCTTTGAGGAAAGTAAGCAACAAGGGCAGACAGCAATCAGTGTTCGAATTCAAATGACGTCACTCGGAGCAAAAATTACACAGATATGTGCCAAATAGAAACTCAAGCGTTTTTTTACAGAGAAGCATTCTTGTGGTTCTCGAGACATTTGGCTGCAAGTTTAGAACGTCTCCTTTGGGTACGTTTATTAAAGTTCAAGTAATGATGAATTTTGGAGTGTACTGCAGTTGGAATGTTTTTTATGTAGTTGTTCTTTTGTTGATCACCCTAGTGAATCCTGATATTTTGGGAGGCCAATGTTTGACGTCCATAAATGCTGGATTCCAGTCACCAATTGAAACAATGAGCACTACTAAGTGTTCGTGTGTGCAAGAGAGTGACTCTCACTCGATCACACTATAAGTTATTTGGAGTAGTGGGACGATCTCGACCTCTGCATCTCTACTGTTCCTGTCTAGTCTTGCGAAACCTGGCAGTATATCAGCCACCTTGCTTCCCTTAGATGGCATGGTATCCATGCGCAGTAAGTGTGTTGCAGCTGAACGACTGTTTCTTATTTTATTAAATGAAGTAATGATAACAACACTGCTTCAATTATCAGTCGACTGGAGTCGGAACCTCAGCACAACAAGGGACTAGTATCGTTCTGACCCCACTTGCCATAAACTTTCCAAAATATTCACGCGCATAAAAAATGAAGGTTGTCCAAAAAAGACAGTAACACAGGTTGAAAATGGTAAATATTAGAGTGCCCATGGGCGGTGAAAGGTAAAAGTGGCGTTACAGTTGATAGTGGCATAGCAGGGTTAGACACCTGACGTTAAATGATTTACAGCTACACTGCGCATGTATTTTGCACTTGAATTTACTTATTAAAAGTACGCCAGACCGGTGGCGCCTACATACAGGCAAAAGTACTGACTTTCATCATTCCGATGACGGATAGTTTGGGTGGGTACAATGTATCCGAGGAACACTTTACGAATTCGTGGTTTCCAAAGCCCGCCGAAATTCGATGATCAAGGTTAAATCCTTATAATCGCAAGTGTCACAACGGAAAAACTTAGTGAAAGATGGTCATCAGCTGTTGCTTGTAAAACAGCCCCTAATATGATTTTCATATCCGAACATGGAGGTTTACTGAACACTGTCTGATCTGTTTCCCTTTAACCGTTTATTCAGCCGGCTTCAGCTTGATTTAATGACTCAGCTCATGTGGTCGTTTTTGCCCAGAGGAAACATCTTTGTTTTTATTGGTCATTGTGAGCTCTCCGCTTTTCTTCAGGCACCACTGGGAGTTGCATATCTCAGCGTAACCGCGTTATCAAACTCGTTGGAAAAACTCAGGTTGTCGTTTGCCCCGGAGGATATGTGGAGTGCTAAGAGGATCCAGGTTAACGCAACCGAAATGTTTGTAGAGCTGGTGGTTCTCAGGTCGGGCCTTCCGTTACTTTTCCGAGCAAATTACAATGAACGTGAGTTCATACGAGTTCTTTCCGTAACTTGCCAATTGTTGTTATTTCTTTTCCCGGCTTGCATAATCACCGTCATTTCTTAAAACTATTTCTACCAGCTACTTATGTGAAAGACATGCGATCCGAAGTTATTGGTTCGAATTTTGTGCTGAACTGGAAACAAGGGGATATGCCATATGATTTCCTCCGTGTTAGCTGGCAAAAGGACAATACGGAGGTTCATCAAGACGTACTCTACGCCAAGCATTATCTATCGATTCCGATAGAACGGGAATCAACTGAACCTTTCAAAATATCAGTATACCTAGTCAATTCCAACGTAGCTGCAGACACGTGGACCATACACCAACCAGAAGGTAAGCGCAACCGAACTAGTAAAGCATATGCTTACTTTGTTTCTTTACAACTACTGCTTTCTAGACGTTAGTGTGCTTTATGGTTCAAGTCCTTCAGAGTGCTTTACCAAGATGAAATGCGATCATATACTCCTCACGCTACATTCCTTAGGGATGTGCGAACACATATATATATANTGATCAGATCAATGACCGGTGTTTCTAAACATTTATCTGTTTTGTAGTAAACAACCAAATAATAAAAATGTTGCGACAGAAACACTGAACCCAGTAAGAAAAAAGTAGCGTGCACTTTACCAAAATGGTCCTCACTGTTTGTCCAAGTGTATATTCAGTTGCCTTTCATTCATATTTTTCCTTTTTTGCAGAAAGTGAAATTGACCCAATTCTGATTGTCGAACCCTCATACACCTCCTTATCCGTTGAACTGACCAACATCTATCATGGGAGTTGTAAGCTATGCTTCCTGTGGAGAAAGGATTTTAACGATGAAGTTAAAAGTATTTGCCAGAATAATAGTCAACCAGATAGCGTTATCAGGAACTTGGAGTCCGGAACAGCGTATCACGTGACGTATCAGGTGCAGCGGCAAAAAAGGCTTCTCACTGGTCATTGGATGAAGGTAGAAACATGTGAGTTTCCTTACTAATGAAAAAGTAGGAAAGCCATATTATTTTGTCTTCTGTTTCGCACATTAATTTCTGCTCGTTCGTTCATTTTGCTCTATGCATGTTACTTACTGAAGTCATCAGGCAAGGGACGTGGTCACCGATCAGACTACGAACTTGTTAGTCCCACAGATGACCGCTAATGGGACGACTAGTCTGAGTAGTAAACATAGGTAATGAATCCTCGCAGCATCAAAACTCAGACTCCCCAAGTTAAATGCACCACTTAAAGGACTGATTGCTCTTTGAAGCTGCAGCTCTTTTCGCAACAGTTAGATTTGCTTAGTATTTTGGGACTGGATGCAACTGATCTGGCTTCTTCATAGTAATATTATGGTATTGAAATATTTTGCTTGATTCTAAGGGAGATTAATTTAGAGGTAATTCGGTTAAAAGAGTTTTATATGGATTAGTTAACCAAGCAATCCGTTACCACATCACACACACTACTTTTAAGATATTAAGAAAGATCATTTGACGGCTTCACTCCCAGTCGCTATCACAGCATACTTAAGCAGGCTGGTCGCTGGAGTAGTCATGCACGAATTGGTCTCTGTTAACAGATTTCTACACCTTAAGATAGTATCAATATTACGATCTCGTTATGCATATCCTTTCCAATTGGATAATCACTGGCAAACAAACCGGGTCACCAAAAAATATATATAAGCTACCACATGCGAGCTCTCTAGAAGCATCCAATAAGTGAGAGTTATGGGCCTATAGGTGAACACGGTAGCAAGCTGCGGTTGTGTACTTGGAATATCTGGTTCAGAAAGTGCACCTATTAACTCACTCAGATAATATGCCCACTTTTCATGAAAAGTTTTTCGTGTGACTACATTGGTTGTTAACCATGAGCATATTTGCAAGGAACAAATGATAAAATTGCGTTAATTCATGAGATTTCGACCAGTATGTGGGGAACCACTATTGTTACTAAAGGCTAGCACAAGATTACTGTGAAGGCCTTTTAAACCACCTCAATGACTATCTTCCCTGAAGAAGGCGAATAACTCCCTTCGAGATTCGGTTGTCCTACTGCTTGCTTCATCACTAAACGACTGGAGTTAATTGGGTGATTTTCACAAGGGTCGGCAAAACAGATGCATTTAACCTCGGCTTACGACACTGCAATGTTTCTAGGCATTCCGGATATATACATTTATACAAATATAAAGAGAGTAGTGATCAGATTCATATGTTGTGACAACAGGACTCCTTGCGCTACCGAATTTAAGCCATGGTGTGAAGGACAACAGTTGGAAGATGAACGAATAGCAGTGATATTTTTATGTTGCGAGCAACAATACTATGGTTTTCTGCTGTGTCTAAGGTCGTATTTTCCACTGAAGCAGGGTTTAAGTTTGTTACATTTTCCTTCGAAGTTCCCAGTATTTTCATACTTGTGGAAACGGTCGTCCAAGGTCAGAAGGTTAGCAAAGTTTGTCGGAAATTTCGCACACATTGCTTGCGCGACAGTCCACTTACCCACTACTCAATACGGTTAAAGTGCTCCATAAAACCAACAGCCCGGTGCATTTTCAAAATCGGCTACTACGCCAACAGGCATGCTTAGTAATGTGTGCCTATGTTGAACATCATAACATCAATGGGGTCCTACCACCTGCTGTTTCATGGGCGAAATCACTAAGCTGATCGCACTGGTTGGAGTACACTGAACCAACCAAACTCACAATCTGGAAATCCAAAAGAGTAATCCGTTCTTCAAACCGCGATAAAACAAAAAATTAGCTTGTAAAAGAAACGATATTTAACCATCTAAAGCTAGGAACCATAAACTGGATGACGTAAATAACGACAGACCTTAAAATCGGGCATCGCTGCCCGCTGCACTCAAAATTTATGCGCCAAAATGGCAGCTCGGAATTAGACAAAGATGACAATACAGAGTAAGCCTCGTTAATATGGGCCTTGTATGACTATTTTAGAACAGATGTATTGGAAGAAGAGGATAAGGAATTAGGATTAACCGTCTCGCTCAACACTGACGAACCAGTCCGCATGTATTCAAGACTAAATACAGTCTAAGTGAAACTCACAAAAGTTCCTTTCAATCAATGCAGACACCCAGTTGTTTACCTATCACACCAGAAATAGCAAAGTTTAGCACAGTTCAGAGCATTCACATTGCTCTTGTCAAAACAGTTTTCCTCCCATCCTAGCTCAATTATTCTGGTGAGTGCATACCAAAAGGCGAAACACTTTATTACTGCTCATCGGTGGTCCGTTCAAAGCCCTCTAGTACGTTCTGTACAGAAATCATGGTTTAAAACCTCCATATTAACAAGCGTACCAGCGAAATGTTAACGAAATTTTCTAAACAGAGTCCGCCGATTTCTGCCCGTTTAAGGGCCGATAGTTTTCTGGGCTTCTAGTTACTGTGATCGACACATCTGCCATAAAACTGAATTGAAAAAATCCCAGTTCGCTTGGCTTTCTGTTGGCTTGAATAAAATCTGACTACCTTATAGAAGTTGAGGGCAGCTTCAAAGCCGAAGGCCGAACTGTCTGCTTTCTACGTTGCAGAATGCGGACAGCTGGAAAAAACATCATGTACTAGTTACGACTTAGTAACCTAAACCGGGACAAAGGGCCAGGCTAGAATATTAAACCTGTGTCGGGAACATTTGGGCATTTGAAGCAAGGAACCCGTCTTATCTCCGGAAATAACACTGAAAGCACAAATATACCATGCCCATAAGGTTTCGGGTTTCTCTCCACTGCTGAAAACATACATGTGGATTAAACCTTATGGGTGCTGGTGTGTAGAGCATCGTTCCACAGTCTTCCGTAATCTGCCTGGTGCTTACGATGGTGCTAATTTGTTGATTAATAAAGACGCCATCGTCCTTCTGAACGAGGGAAATTTAGTATCGGTACAAGTAAAAGAGCTAAAGAGTTTTCGGAGTTCTGTACGAAGGAAGGAAATTTTGCCACAAAGTGGCGAGGAACTGCCTGGATTTCTTTGGTAAATGGTCGGGTGAAGCGATTGAACGAAGGATTTCGCACAAGGGACTTTTATTTTCATTGAAATAATTGCCTCGCTCATTTGTAATATAAAATAGCACAACTGGTTTTTAAACGGAGTGTGTTTTCCCATAATCTACTGCATAATCCGAGAGCCATAGAGTGGCTTCACTTATGGGACGAAATATACGCTGAACATTACAAAATATCTTCATACCACACAAAATAATCCAATGGTTTCCAGAAATGTCGCAACCTGTGGATTAAACAAAGCTGTAAAATTTACATTCGGAAAACTATCTGGGTGTGGTTTTCGAATGGGCTGAAATCATAAGTACAAGGCGGGTTCGGTAAGTGAATCTGGTTGAAGACTCATCAATGTATGCTTGTTCATGAATTTTTGAAGGCTGCTTTCGTTGACACAGTACGTGTAATGTATCGGCTGAGTTGTCCTCTAATATCTAGAATGATTTATTATATACCAATAATGAATTACTCGCAAGAGAGCAGGGAGCGATAACGCACTAATATAACTCGAGATTTTGCATGTTCTTGAGCACCTTGACTACTATCATCGGGCAAAACGAAGGTAGAACTGATGGTGGGCAATAGGAACTAACCGATTCGTTGTCTTTATTAGCTCCCTAGCTTTCGGAGAGCATGGGTAAGTTAATCCGAAATACATAGTCCTGTCTAATACAACTCTGTTCTGGAAACGCAGTGGTTTCGTGACCCAACTAAGAGCTCTCCTGGCTGTAGAAACTGCACCCCGTTTTAATGCGCTTTGTGCTCGGTTTAAGGGAGTGAACAATATCCAACCTAAGGAGGAAAACAGACCGCTGGCTTGCCGCATGTGGCCGAGTGTTTTAACCTTCCACTAAGAACCAGGAGATTGCGAATTCAAACTCTGTGAGACCCACATTGCTGATGATTCTTAATAAGGATGAAGCGTCTATACGCCGCTGCTAGGCAGTTCGGCATAGATCAACTTAATTTACGAAACTAAATGCCCACTGCATTTTCTAACACTGTTCATACTACCACAAGTTATAAGTAGTTTAGACGGAAGAAAAATTCGCTTGGTGTTAAACTGCTAGCCAGAAAGTTGAGCTCGAATCACCCTGGAAACTCGTGAGATGGCGCAGCTGATGATTCCTAGTAAGGAAGAAACAGTTGTACAGTGCTTCTTGATTTTTTAGCATACGGTGTCTTCACTTAACGGATAAACTCTTCATTAAACCAACGATATGTTTGTTCGCCACAATAACTAGTTTAACTAGTGAACTGTGCCATGAACACTGCGCGAACAGCGTGGTCCAACGACAGAGGTGATATCCGAATGACTCCTGGCGTCTACCTTGTCATTTAAGTCACTAGACTGAAAGAGAAGGTAGTCAAACGTTACGCTCCCCAGTCATTTTGAATCATGTATAACAAAATCCAGCGTGCAATCCGAATCCACCTCATTACCTTAGGTAACCATCTGCAGGTCGAGGAAGGCGGACACAAATTTCCATGAAACAGCTGCGGTGTGTAATCTTTGCATCTCCTTTCTTTACGTACTCTGATCCTCCTCTCTTCAGTTGATTGTTAGAAAGGACGGTAGGCAGCACAACTGACACCGAATGCACTGTTTAAAATGTCGGCTAAAGAGTCAGCTGATCAACTCAGGTGTATGACCACTGCAGTCATCCATGGGATGACGTGGGAAAGCCACATTAAAAGATATAATCTGTTTAAATGCTGGCGACATTTTTTTCCAACATCTGCCTCACGGTGAGCCATAATCGAGACATTAAGTTTCCAGATGTCACCAAATGAACGAACTCAAATAAGGCCCACAAACGAAAAGATAATTCTAAATTCTGGATCGCAGTTCCACTGGTGTACCAGTGAAATTCTCATACAAGCTATTATTATCTATCACCCTGACGCGCTTACTGTTTACGCAGACGTGTTGTGGAGATCCATTTGGTTTAGCGACGACTCTTGTAAGGAGGCAGATGATAATTCTACTCACAGTTTCGACTGTCTCATTATTCTTGTTGTGCTATCCAGGGGGTTATATTAACCATCATTATCATCATCCAAGTATTCATCATATGACATCAACACCTCATAGCCACCTCCGACAGTATGTCACGGTAACATGGGGACTAAATGGCAACAACCTTCGGGCTTCACTGTTTGCTCGTATATTTTTACCGTTTCATGTGGCAGCGGTCAGCGTATCCGAAAGAGTAGTCAGTGCATCTTGCTAATTTCATTAATGTGCATTACCTCAATTGTTCACACACAACTTGACATCAAATGCTAAGAATAGCGGAACTGGACTATGACAGTAGACTGACAAATTTAATTGGAGTTAAATACACTATCCATATTTGGACATTTTATTTTAAGGCTCAGAAACAATCAAATAGCCGAGAACTACGGTCACTCCCATTTTCCGCTAGTGCGGGGATCAAACCAGTAGGCTTGTTATTCATATCTGATAACCGGGACTCACGCTGGTCGTGAAAGTTTAGGCAGTCAGAAGGATATTAGCTATCCCTCAGCGTCTCACAAAAAATACCCGGTTGTTGAGCGCGTGACCGTTGATAATTTCGATTTGACTCGCAATCGACCTTGTGAGGCTTTCGTCAACGATTGAGGAGATATCAGCAGTGCGTATTTGGGTGTCCAAAAACCTTTTACGTGCCTACGTTTAGAGAACTTCTTATATCTAGCAACGTGATGGGACAACTGTAGTGCTGAATGCCTGTACGTTTATATGTCCGTTTGCTAGATGTGTTGCGTTGTGTTCATTTTGATCACGTGACTACCTGACTGGTTTAATTTCTATTCTGGTGAAACTAGCTTACCTCTTGGATTTGAGTTCTCCTATTCCTTCTAAAGACTAATGATGTGGTTTGTGTACAGATTTGTTAAGGGCGAAACTAAAACGTTTCTTATAGCCTTTTCAGTGGGGTGCTGTGTCAAAGACCATTGTCACAAAAAATCGTTCTGTTCCACGCCCGAAAAAAACCTGTTAATATAAGCCAAATAAAACATTGAAGCTGCTCAGTAGCCCGACAAAATTCTGGTCGCCTGAAGACACTACTTTTCAAAATTGCTCAACCTGACAGAACTTTTTTTTTGCTGTGAATATACAAAGAATACCTGCATGGCTGACTTGCACACAGCTGTTGAACTACTCTGAGCCATAATGCTACTTTAGAATGAGAAACCTGTGGTATTGGGCAGCTTGTTCGTGGAACTTCTCAATCTGGGAGGATCAAAATTGCAGAATGAACCTATGTACAGACTATGCGGAACTTGAGAGGTGAAAAACCTCGAGCAAGATTTCAAGGATGCAAATATAATTCCCATGTATAACTTGAAAGAAAGTCAACAAAAGGTTGACAGCTACCACAGTGTCAACCTCTCAGGCACGACAGGCAAGACTACGGGCTCATATCCTCCTCACTAGGCCTCACTCTGGTATCCTGGGAGAACTATTCCCAAATAGTCGTGTGGTCAAAATGTAACTGACTTCATTTTTACTGAAAGACAAGTTTGAGTGAAATATCCGGAGCAGAAACAACCGTTTCGGAGACTGCTCGGATTCCACAAAAGCTCTCGTCTCACTCACGGTGAATCATCCTAAAATGTTCGGTTGTTCAGATAAAAATTGCCAGTCTTATCGAAGCCTTCCGCAGTGGGAATAAAACCCAGATACATAACTACGAAACTTAATCGAAAGATTTCCCAGTTGACACTGGTGGCGTTCCTGCTCCAACTCCTTTTAACAACGTGCACCCTGCGGTGTTTCACCAATCCAGATCCGGTATACCTAATCAACAATGTTTTCAGGATCACTAGCTCGGTCTGAAGCCTTTACTGACCAAAGCATCATTGCGGAAGTCCAGAGTCCGTATGCATCCGCTGACAGACGACTGCGTTTCATTTTCGAATCCTGAAACGGACTTTCAAAAGCTTGCTATGGTATTTGGTTTAGAGATATATCTTTTATCAGCTTCCATTTTGGATTCAATGTAAAACAAGTGTTCCTTTAAATGTTTTTTAGGTATTGCTGTGCATACGCTACATGAAACATTTGTTGGGAGTAGTGGATCTGTTTCTTTCTTCAAACAACTGCTCACTTGGGCGAAATGAAGTCAATATAAAACATGACTTTGGTAGCATGACCTGTCATTTGTCACAAGTTTACAAACGAATTCGAAGTAAAGAAGGGTGACGCCTTCTAATGAAGGCTTTCTTATCACTCCATGAAAACTATTTCTTACGATTAGGAAAAGGTATATTACTTTGCATTATTGAAGTTCTTCAACGTCTGTTATGGAAGGAAATGCAGGTAGATCAGCTTGTTCAACTAGTGATCGACCTGTTCGCTGAGCACGGCTACTAGTTCATTGTTGAATTTATTGTGAACTATGCTGCGTTTCCTGCACTGGCTTCCAAACTGTCCTGGTTTGTTTTGACGCAGATCCTCGACCTTAAGGACAAGGAATGAAAGGTGCCAAGAAGGGACAGTTTGTAAAATGACATTATTGTTATAAGGCAGGTTAGGCAAGTGACACTGATTTGGCACAGCATGCTTCATGTGAGTGTAGGTCATTACTTCATTTGACCAGGAAAGCTAAGTGAGGTCAAGAACAAAGCTAATCATCTTGCCCACTAGTGAAATGATTGATTTTCTGACTTCAGAATGTGAACCCGCACTCGTATATAGCTGTTCACATGTTGGAGAAGTATGCTGACATGGGCAATTCACAATGTAAAATAACTTTGACTCGTTCGGAACTTTTCCATTTGGCTTGATTTTTAAGTGCAGGTTTTATTTTAGGAAATCAGCACTGTGATCAGCTATTCTTTCCTTAGGAGCATAAGGACCAATTTTGGATGATAATGCTACATATAATTTCGCTGGAAAATATTGATCGGCTATCACGCAGTATTAGCGGTATTATTTATACGAATGATCAACTAATAAGACTTCATTTCAGAAAGGCTCTTGTTCAGTCGGACGAAAAAAGATTGTAACAGAAGACAGATGCTTGCACCAAAATCTTCGTAGAGATTCTTTTAATTCAACTTGAGCGGAGTAAAGTACACTTTTCAAACACTTGGAATGAGAAATTCTGCCACCGTTTTAAATCAGCCATTTTATCTAGAATTTCTCGAAAATTCCCCATTTACACTCAGTATCTTTACTTGCGGACATCAGGACTGGGGAGCGACCCGGTGAGATTGTAATCCGTTGGGATATTAGCAAAAGCGCTGGTGTCCAGGTGAGGTTTACCTGCACCGTCAATGTACCTAAAGACTCTCAGTTGGTGGACTGCGAAAAGGAACTCCCAGTGGGGCTAGTCAGAAGAGGAAGTTATGTCATTCCTGTCAAACTTACCGACGTGGAATACACCATTCAATATCATGGCACAGGTGAACAGGGACAGCCTATTGTGGGGCACCCGATTATTGTGAAAACAAGTGAGTTTGCCTAAGTGAGTTGCCTAATTCGTTATCTTAGAGAAAAGGTAGCACCAGTAGCAACTTCACTTTGAGGCGCCATGTTCTATGCAATTTATAGACGATTGATTTTAATTCAGGGAGTGAAATGAACCTTCGGGATTTGATTCATTCGCTAATTTCCGCTACGAGGCACGTGGATGGCGTTACTGCCACAGATCTACAAATTGTTAGACATATGGCTTGAGAATTTCCAGGAATACTTACGGTTATAGTTTTTGGGCAGTGGCAGAGTACAGAGCTTCAGCTGAGAACTCAGCTGCAAGTGATTTTAGTGAATGCTAAAAGCCGAAAGCATGTGCGTGTCCAGGTATCTTCAATGAGATTCGAATTCGCCAACTTACGATCAGGAGTGTAGCACAATAGTATTCAGCTATAAGTAACAAATCGGTGATATGACTAATCGCATTTGGAGGCGTATGGAACCAGCCACTTTTTGTCAAGTATTTCAGGTCACATGATCACATGTTGATTGGCTTCTACACTAACTGTCAGATGCGGGTTACTCCCAACTTGTGGGTAGTTTCGAGACTTCGAAGTGACTCAGTTCCCCAAATATAACCATCCTGCTGATCAGCCACCTGTAGCTGCACTGTGCGCCAACGGAGAGATCAGTAAATCTATTACATTTAGGGATTTGAGTGTTATGTACTACTGATGGTGGTTGAGACAAGTGTACAGTGTTTCTTGGCTTTTCAGCGCAGCTTTACTTCAATCTCAAAGTGAAACGTTATTTGGTACTTCAGAAAAGCATAATAACTTCTAACCATTGACAGCTTGTTCACATAAGACGAACCCATAACTTGCTTGGGCTTTCTACGTCATCGGGCTTTAGCTGATGTGGCAGCCGAGATGTGAATTGCGTGCTCGACGGTAGGGTGCCTTTACATGAGTTATTCATTGTTGATTGAACACTGTGGAACGCGGGGTAGATGGCTTAGCTCCTCCCAGAACTTCGTGAAATTTTCTTTACCAGTACGCTTTTGCTAGAATGAAACATCTGCACAGTGTCTATCAGTTGTTCAGTCTAGAATGAATTTCCCCGGAGAAGCAGGATCTGAAGCATAAAATCTAGTAATGATGCCCGGCAAAGTTACGCTGATGATGATTAGTTCAGTTCCAGAAGTTACAGCATACTAGCCAACATAAACTAAACATTCGGTCGTTTTGTATTCCGCTCAACTTGCTAAGCAGCGTGGGAATTAAGTTGGCCCACTGGTTTACCTATTCTTCTGTGACGTGAGGTATGAGAAATTGATAGTTATGTGCTTCCCTTGTAAAGGACAAGATTACTGCATCAGTTATCATTGCAGTTGTCGATTATGTACATCCTAGTATAGTTGAATGTCCACCTTCCTTCTGACTAGCTGTTTTGATGTATACATGATCACATGTGCGGCTTGCTGTTAGCTTCAAACCACCAGATATGCCCGTAAGCCTGTTGTATCGGATACACGTCCTACTGGAAATACTTATATGGAAACCAGACTCGCGAACATGCTCGGATCTTCACAGTACTCGATCTTTCTGCCTCTGAACAGAGGTTTGAAAAATAAATAATCTAAAGCTTAGAGTTATTATGAACGCACTATGGAAGCTAACGTTTTATACATGCTGTCATAGACAAGGTTGTCAATTTTGATTGAGTTCCGCAATCCACTTGACGTGAATGGTGATTAGAGATAGGTAAAAAGTTAACATTTTATTTTATTTTAATCTCTCATAATCGTGAAACAAGTCAGAAACATTTACGATGCAAACAGTGTGACATAATAGCAGTACCTAATGTGTTCAGCAGCCCGACGCATCACGCTTGAGGTTTCAGTAAAATCAGTACGAATTTTCACTATTTCGTTATTAAGTGGCCTCCATAAAGCCGCATTGTCTTGTGCTGATATCACAAAGATACTGTTCTGCTTGATACCAATATGGATAGACCAGCCTAGTTATTATTATTTTGGGGTTAAAACGGTCATTCTTTTGCGTTAACGCATACGCATGAGTCGGTTTTCAAGCACCTCATTTCCACATACTACGCAGAACCATTTCTGGAAAATCTCAAAGTTGTGAGGAGGAATAAAGGCACGGAAATTTCATGGGACGGACTTCGTTCCTCATTCACAAGTATCTGTATACTTTGGGGAACTCGTGGCCATCTTCGAGAGAGCAGTTGCTTCAGGCCTGGTCTCAGAATGGCCTTTTTGACAACCACTCCGGAGTTTATTTCATACACTGTTGGTCTGTCCGGATCGAGGTTTCTGGAATCCCCAGCTTATCCGGTTCAGTCAGGTAAGCAAGCATTCACAAACAAGCATTCAGTAGATCATATCTGGAATCCCCAGCTTATCCGGTTCAGTCAGGTAAGCAAGCATTCACAAACAAGCATTCAAGTAGATCATAAGGTTGACGGGAACTCGGGGACTGCGCCTACCTGATGAGCCCCAAATAGGGCGAAACCGGTCGTGGGCTGTCGAAGAGTTTTCAGCGACCTTGTGAGTAGTTTCTTTTATGAAAGCATTCACCAATGGTCCCTCCGGTGGTTTCCACATGGCCTTTAGATTCGCTTGAGCTATGTTCTGTTCTGTAAACAAAATACTGTGTTTTCTCCAATAAGACTTAGTCTAGGGAGTTGTCACGGCTAAATAAGCAAACTTTATCTTTTCTGTGTGTGACGTTGCCACAAATTTTCCGGGCGTTCCATTTGATATGACCTGAAGCATCTTGAGCTCGCTTGCTGACCTTTAGGAGCACCATTACTGAACAGTGCGTATGGCACTAATTTGAATGTAATTTCATTATTTCGATCCTTCAGGTGCTAAAGTTGACTACCCCCCCCCCACTTAAAGCATGGGTGCTTGGCAAATTTTTTCACATTTCGGAGTTTGCACAATGTACGCGAATCCTTGAGGTGATAGCTTTATGCTGTCGGAACTGATAAATGCTTGTATCTCTCTTGACTGTCTAGCAAGACTCTATTTGTTTCGTTGAACATTGAAGGTTAGTTTAGGCTTAGCTGGTGAAATTGAGAACCATGTCGCATACTTCCATGGTCCGAATGAGTGAGCAATGAGTTTAGCGGATTACACTCAGTTGTATGCCAATTTGGTTTTTATGGAAGACCCAACTGAATCCCAGCTAAATTTCTCGTTCTTAAATTGCATGTGCTGCATCTGGCTGCCTCATATTTGAGTTGCGATACGCCAGTATCACAATGCATAGTTTATACTTAACACACTACTCAAAAGTGTATTTCGCTAGTTGCATGGGAAAAAACTTGGAAAAAACGTTTGGGAAGCACCTACCTGATGAGCCACAGGAAGGGCGAAACCGGTCGTGGGCTGTCGAAGGGCTTTCTACAACTTTGAGAGTTGTGTTACGTCTAAACTATGAAGTTACCTTGAAAACTGCAGGTTTCATGCATTCACTCGGACATGGTTTCCCGATCGTTCGTGTGTGAGACTCACTATTCACAAATGTAATCAGCTGATAGCATTGCACTGGATTCCATGGAGAATGACTACCAGCGGAGCCGCAGTATCTCGTCTGGCGTTCTATGATGCACTGGTGAACAACTCTTTGGTCGAGTTAAAACGATGTGTTAAGCTACGCAAAATCGATTTGAATGTGCGATTAAGCAATGTACGGAAACGGAACCGCACCGATTTGTGTCCTGTACATTTGGTCATCTACAAGGGATACTTGGCCATGTTGCACTACCTCATTCAAAACGGGATCAATGTACACCAGGCGACTTTGACCCTTCAAAGTCGAGCGGTGCACTTTGCTGCGTTGCGTCACCAAGTTCCGTGTTTGCAGATGTTGTTGAATACTGATGCTCAAATGAATGCGCTGGATACAGTTGGTAACACACCGTTGCATTACGCAGCGGAGGATGGTGACAGAGCTTTACTCAGCCTACTACTCAACAATGGAACAAGTGTGGATTCACAGGACATAACAAACAAGACATCGTTAATGAGGGCTGCAGGAAGTGGAAAACTCTAGGCCATGCGACGATTTATTGCTTTTGGGGCGAACGTCAATGCAAAGGATCGTAACGACGAGGCCGCTTAGCATTTTGCCTGCAGACAAGGTTCCACGGAAATCACTAGCATGCTGATCAAGGCCGGAGCTCCTTTGAATGCCCATAGACAAATAGGTCTCATACGACTTTGCAAACTCAACTGAATCTCTCGTTTATGATGTTCTACAACTTAGTGTGCTGCACACAGGATGCCTAATGTTTCAGTTGGCACGATATTCGAAATATCGCAGTATATTTTCACGAAGGAAACTACTCACAAGGTTGCTGAAAACTCTTTCATAGCCCACGACCGGTTTTGCCCTTCATGGGGCTCATCATGTAGGCGCAGTCCCCGAGAAATGCACTCATGCGCAAACGAGAGATTTACTTGATTCTCTCGTGAAAATCAAATTGATTCCCAAATGGGAGTATTTCTCGAAAACAGTCCACTTTGGGTTCGAGTAGAAAATATGGCTGACGGAAACTCGGGGGCTGCGCCTATCTGATGAGCCCCAAGAAGAGCGAAACCGATCTTGAGCTGTCGAAGAGTTTTCAGCAACCTTGTGAATAGTCTCCTTTATGAAGAGGTCTCACACCACTACAATAAAATGAAAGCGGTCAGTCTAATGGTCAAACAACGCGGTGATGACCTCAACAAGCGAGGCTTTTGTACTGGCGATACGGCATTGCATATCCAGTAAAGAAGAATCACACACATATGGTGGAAATATGATTGCAAGCAGGAAACTGGTATATTGAGTACAACTATAATAACCTCGGTGAATCCTTAGTACACCATGTGATTGCTTACAATCGACTGGACTTACTTGAACTATTTTCTGCCAACAACTATGACTTTGGTTTTCCTACTAAAAGACTTCCTGCATCCATTTTTGGACTCGTTGTACCGGAAGCTTCCAGCAGCAGCACTGTTAGAGCAGTGGAAGGTTGTTTTCCAATACATATGAAAAGTCACCATTCCCTCATATGAATCGAATACGAAATAAGTTAGCGGCATGCTGGCATTCATAACCTACCTTGAAATATCAGTGGAAGCAACTGATTTATCTCCTCGGTTTATGAATGCTGCGGCGCCCGGCGTATGAGTCAAAGTGTCACCAAACGTACTGAGTTAGGGGTTATTTGTGCCACATGACGTCTTCATTTGACTACAGCGAGCTTCTACTTTTGCGGATTGTGGGTTATCGATTGACGCCAATTGGTCTAAAGCACCATCTACTTAGAATCCTACCTAATTCTATAATTTGAAGTTAAATAGCTGTATCGTTACTATCATTTGCAAAGACCAATATTAAAGCATCTGCGACAACACAGTTTTAAAATCAGTCTGCCTGTTATATCTATAATTTCCATTCTGTTCGGTATCCTCTTCCGAGCCTATGCCTTACGCCCCCCAGGATCAACGGATTTGTAAAACGTCTAGAAAATCCATGCACTTTTAGTCCTAGCCACATAAACTGCAACAGTACACAATTTTTTCCGGAGACTTTACATATGTGAAATTTCCAAGTGAGCCTATCCTCACATATTCAGGCACAAAACATTCCGCTTGAAAAGACAGGAGTTCGTTTACTGAAGGAATGCAACTCGAACTAAAAATGTTTCATTCTTGCACTAATTGTTTTCGAAAACGATTTTTGACAGTTGCATTCTGTCCACGTTTTAAATATCCGTGCTCACGCGTTCTGTCCCACGTCATCTGCACGACTTGTAGTTAGACTAAATCAGAGCACTCATTCAATAAATGGCATTGCAATATTCACAAAGGTTTGCTTACGTATCGGAATCGCAACATTTAATTAGAGTGAAAGAAATGTGATGGAATATGGGAACATAGTGATCTCCAGCTGACCCGTTAAAACGTTAGGGTTAATCGGGTATACTTTGATGAACGAAACGCGAGTAGACTCTCGCAATTGTTTGAGTGCCGCTCATGGATACTGAACAAACCTATGTGATGCTTTCAGGAATATTGGTGTTTATAACTTCAACCAAAGTTACAGTGTTGAACCGGGCAATTGGAACTCAAGTGTGCTCATCCCGTTTGACCCTGTTATGGTCGCAGCTTAAAATGCTGATACCATCTGAGCCACCTATATGCTTTTATAAAACTGGCGATTCCCTGAATGTTTTATGAGCTCTGTACACTGAATGCTGGCTCCAAAATCATCAGTGTGATATAGAAGCTACTTCACCAAGCGTCAACGCTTTTCGGAAAGTTTTGTTTACGGTTTTGCTTATCATGTGGGCTGAAATAAACACTTGAAATGATAGAGTGACCCATCTCTTGGTTATTGTGCAAGTCCGCAATGCTGTGTAACCCAAGGAAAGATTACCCTACACACCGAGTTCTCAGCAACTTAGGGAACCAGTATTCGGAGAAGTAGATTTGACCAGGATATCACCTTTCGGGATTCGGAAGCACCACGTTTCGGTCGCTTCATTTTTATTTGCGTCAGTAATTCAGTAATTTTGAATGTAATCCGGACATGCATCAAACACACCCGTTCAGTCATTAGAAGTCTGAGTTATGGTGTCTTAGACTTTGGAATATAGACCCAATGGTGACAGGTATTCTCATTCACGATGCACTGATCAACATCCGCGCGTCGTGTTTCTCCTGGAGTGACGGTATCGTGACCTTTATTCAACCGAGATCTTACTGCTTCTTACCAGCTGATCGTGGTTCACGTGGGCTTGTTTATGGTTCGGAATAAACCAGTATCTATTGAGTGTACGCAGCTGGTGGTTCAAATGTGGAATTAGTCGGCCTATGATGTTTGTAAGAGCTCAAAGATAAGGTTACTTAAGCTAAGTACGTATGTGACGACCGAATCTGGTTGCAAAATTCCTTTGGTGTTGAGGACAGATGGAACCATAATCCAACTGAAGCTATCATGCATGATAGCCTTCAAGTGAATACGCTGCTTTATACAGCACATATACAGTCGACTTATATTTTATAGGGATGTCACACTGTCGATGAGAAATGTATGGGCCACTGCCCCTTATGATTCTAATTAGCCCCCAAGTTTCCATCAAACACATTGTGCTGGGGCATCATCGACTTGTACCTATATGGCGAAAATCAGTGGCAGGATTTGTGCGGATTATTGATGAAGTGTAGGTAAACTTTCAGTGCAACGCATTTTTGAATCACTGTTCTTGTGTTTCGACTATAGCTGTAAACTTCGCTTGTATTTCTCTTTTTAGACGAGCCCTCTCGCGGAAACAGAAGAGTGACATCGACGAGTTAGGGGTCATAGTTTCTGTGATCTGTTGTTTAAATATCGTGCGTTTCAGCTCTATTCCTATCTAAAAGCTTATTATACTGCTCAGTTGACTCTTTTTGGCGTAGTTAGTCCATAAACAAATGTTGAAAAATGTCGTCTGGAAGTCAGCGGACAATTTTTTCGTCATCCAACCGTGCCGTGGAAAACATTTGTACGCACCAGGATTTTTTGACATTCTTGATATGCAAAATAAAACATGAAACCGTTCACTAAAGTTCTATGGTGATCAGACTGACACTTACGGAATCGACAAGACTTTGACCATTATTCTTTGCATAACACTACCAATATTGGTGAAGGCCCTTCGGCGTCCAACTACAAGTTGCGTCCCTCTTGTGATTCATCGGACGGGCATATTCTCCGAGTCTCCGTCAGTATTATTCTCTACTTATGCATCAAATCTTTCGTTACTCTTTCGGCCGATCATTTGCAGATTACGTCAGGATTACCGGGAGTTAGTTGTTTTATCACCTATCATATTGTTCAACTGAGTGTGCGGCGCACAGGCCGCTTGTTAATAGCAGTTGTGTGGATTACTGGTGTCCTATATCAGTGCATATTAAGATCGTTGGTTAGTTCACGATAGCAGCAGGCTGACAAGTTTGGGACTCGTTTTCCATGATCTTGAAGGTGATCCATTACCAAACTGCCAAACAGTTGATATGAATTATTTCAGTAAATTTAGCGCCTATTCCAGAAGAACAGCTTTCACTACGTTCGTTTGCTCATTTGTGGGTTGATGCGCATGACTCCCTTATCTTCTTCCAATTGATAGCTCGGTTGGTGGTTGTCCTGAAATCCCGACGCCGTTAGGTGAAATTTCACACCAGAACCCGTGGTTAATTTGACCATTAGGATCGTAGCTCCTGAACGCAGCAAGATATCCGGACAGCTGCGCCGATTCCTCACAGGCGCGAAGAAGAGCATGCGCATAGTTTTGTCATGGCCCCTCAAACTATTGAACAAAACCTGGTCTCAAATCCAACCACTCAAACATAAAATGAACCGTTTCGAGTGTGTCGTAGGAAGTGTTGGGAATAAACTACATCATAGACTTATCCTTTCGTAGGGTTGTTATTTATTTTTGTGCCTACAAAATCCACTAGTAGGAAAGTGTTATGAATGAATACATCCCTAATTGGACCATATTCTACGTTGGCAATCTACCTTGGTCCCAATAGACTAATGAGTAAAATAGGACACAGATTGACTGATTTCAGAATTTCGTAGCCCGTGCCCAGCTAAAATTTCCAAATTTCCTTCCCGACACCAAAAATGGGCTTAATCTTGATGGAAAAACAAAGCACTGAACGGTATGAGAGCTCTTGCAGACAGCCAAGTTGATTGCTCAGATAAAGCTGCCCATTTGGTGGTTTCAAAGTGCAAACAGCATTTGGTATATCAAATAGTATGGAAAATCACAGTATATATACGTCACGGTTATCCGGTTTATTTGGGATGAAGTAGATGAACCTAGGGTGTGACTCCAAGAGCATGAGCTGTTCATCAGTAGTCAGGTGGAAGTCAGATGAATCAACAGCTTAGCCGCACACCGAGACCAAGGCAGCCGACGATTTGCGAGCTAAGCCGCACCATCGTTTTTTAGGAAAAAAACAAACTTGTAGAAACATTTCAGAAACACTTGTGCACCAGAATCATCACTGCAA